TAATAGATTGGGACCCGACCCGGACCCGGCTGACCATTTAAAATATAGCCCCGAACCCGTACGGATCCCGGGTCGGGTCCCGGGTCCTCGGGTCTCGGGTCCTCCGTGTAGACCTCTAGTGTGGAGCTCAAATCAACTTCAGTTCCTGCATCAGCAAATGAGTTCTCCTTATAGGGAACTTGTGCTGCGTACTCTAGTGGACACTTTGGGGAATGCTGCTAGCATGATCGTTGTCTGAAGCACGTGTGAAACAACGGCATTTCTATTGGTGCACATAGCCTGTGAAGTCATGAGCGGGCACCCAGAATTATAAAAGGGTGCTGCTAAACACGTCACCAATATTTGTTGTCTTCAGGAGCCGTTTGTTTGACAGTGCGTGTTTAAGACCAAGGCAGGTGAGCGTTTTAGAAAGTCTGTGTCTCTGTGCCCGAGGTTTCAGACATTTGAGGACACACACGTTCTATGTGTCATGTGTCTTGGTTAGGAGCTTCCAATGAGAGCGCTATATTCATGTTTGTCCCACGTCACGAGGAATGACGGATAAGCGTCTGCATCTCGCGGTTCGGGTCCCGCTGATGCCGAGGCACGGCGAAGACTCAGATCGTGGGATGCGCAGATCGAGTTTGCAGAGAAGGATATAGACCTTTTGAAAGCTTCCGCTGCAAGCTCGAGCACTCGGTGGGTTTCAGACACTCTTTTTAGGGTTATCGGATCCCACAAATAGTGCTATATTGAGTTGAGGAGCACCTGAGGGAATGTGTGTCTCCATGTTTGGATTCTAACACTTGAGGGCATACTCTGACTTTTGCGTCTAGGCTCCATTTGTGTTTGTTCCTATTCCTGAGGGATACGGGGCAAAGGGATTGTGTCTCGCGGCCTGGTTCTGCCATTGCCGCGGCACAGTTTCTCAGCTGGCGGTGATTGTTTTGATCTGCGGGATCCGCACACCCTATCTAAATGGGTTGTCGGATGCTGCAGACAGTATTTGGGTTGTTACAAAGATCCGCCCGATCTTGTGAGCTCAGCTGTGCCTCTCTAATATGCATGTTATTGTGTGTAGAGAGTCTCGCTGGCTGTGGATATATTTATATACTCTGTGGAGAGAAGCTTGCATCACTGCTTACGTCAGGCTTTGATAGTAGACTAATGATGTTTTATGCGTTCGCTCTTTAGCGAATCATTTACTGATGGTCCAGATCTCCCTCATGTGAGCTTCTGGTCAATAGCATGGTGGTTGCTAGCATCTTTGGGACTGACACTGATTAGGGGCCTGCTTAGTATAGCCATCTGAGGATGGTTATATTCCAGCCATGATTATGGCAGGGCAGGCTTGCTTTAAATACAGCTATCTGAGGTTGGCTGTGTTTTTGCTGTTATAGTGAGCCCCTTCTTATAAACTATCTGAGCTCGATGATTGCTCCCCTGCGGCCTCCTTGAACCCTTGCCTGGACAGAGCTGTCTCCCCTTTTTGGGCTTTGATTAGACAGCCCACTACTGGTGGTCTTGGCAACTGCAGTAGGTCCCCTTACCTATAACCTAGCTATCCAACGATCGCTATGTGCTAGCCTTGTGATTGCTCCCCTACCTAGGGTTTCTAAGTAGCAGCCTCCTTGAGCCTTGTATAGATATCTCCCCTGCTAGGGTTGTAAGCAGATAGCCCACTTTCTGTGGTCCGGGCAGTTTTGTGGGAAGGTTTTACTAGATAGCTATCTGAGGCTAGCTGGGTATTGATTGCATTTTTGGTCTACGAGCCTTTTATATAAGATCCTTAGAAAATAAATATTTGAGGATAACGGTTTTCTAGCTCAGCAGCTACTTCCCTTTCTTGGTCCTTTAGTAGTGATCTCCTTGAGCTCCTATCTAGAGGCTTTCTAGTTTAGCCTCTTCAGTGGTCTTGTGTATTCAGGCTAGTATTGCTCACATAACATAGCTATCTTAGGGGGGTAGCTGTGTTTTTAACTTGGTGTGGATATCCCTCTTTCACCTGAAACTGGGTTACCCATTTCTGCCAAGCTATGTGAGCGATCCGGGGCGTCAGTGGTTTTGCCCCTTTCTGAAGAAAGGTTAGGTGTATACCTGTCAACTCCTTGGTCTCTCTCCAGGTGGACAGGCATGGCATAGTTGGCATTTCGTTCCCCAAAGTGTCCGCTTGAGGATGCAGCACGAGTTCCCAAGAAGGGGAATATCTCAGGTTAGGCATGTAGCCATGGTTCCCCGAGAAGGAACTAGATGCTGAGTCCCTTTGCCATGCCTTCGGCCTGCCTGTTTCATGTCTCCTTCAGACAACTAAGTTGGTGACAGATTCAACAGGTGCCCTTTTATACTTCCGGGTATTCGCTCATGATGTCACAGACTACGACCGATACAGGCTGGACCAATAGGATTGGAGTTTTTTTTCCACATGTGCTTCAGACCACAGTCATGCTGGCTGCATTCCCCAAAATGTCCAGTAGAGTGTGAGTTCCCCCTCGGGGAACCATGATTACATGCGTAAGCCAAGACATTTTATTCAAAATCACAACAAAGATGCAGATATTAATCAGTTTTGTTTTTGGATATTGTTGGTCTCAGATGTAAATTTCAAATTGTTTACTTCAGTAGACTATCATAAAGCTATTAAAGTCTTAATCTGTGACAAACCCTGTTTCTGTTTGTTCTTCAGGTGTGTTTGCTGATTCAGATGCAGTGAAGTCAGTGATGGAGGGAGATTCAGTCACTCTAGAATCTGGTCTTACTGAACTACAGACAGTTGATGTGATAATGTGGACATTTGGACGCCCAGAGACTGTTATAGTTCACATCGATAAAGACGCTGGAATCTTCTCCACATATGATGTACTTGATGGGAGATTCAGAAACAGACTGAAGCTGGATCATCAGACTGGATCTCTGACCATCACAAACACCAGAACCACAGACTCTGGACTTTATCAAGTAACCATCAGGAGCAGAAAGACCACATACAGATTCAATCTTACTGTCTCTGGTGAGTCACAATTACAGTATAATTTTGTGCTGCCAGTTTTCATAAAAATATTTTCATGA